GGAATGTTTTTCAGCAGCAGGGACTGGGAGACTAGTCAGGATCGAGGCAAAGATGAACGGAGCAAAGTACAGAGAGATCCTTGATGAAAACCTGCTCCAGAGCACTCAGGACCTCAGACTGGGGCGAAGGTTCACCTTCCAACAGGACAACGACCCTAAGCACACAGCCAAGACAACGCAGGAGTGGCTTCGGGACAAGTCTCTGAATGTCCTTGAGTGGCCCAGCCAGAGCCCGGACTTGAACCTGACCTGCTAAAGGGTCTTCAACAAAGTACTGAGTAAAAGGTCTGAATACTTATGTAAATGTGATGTTTCTGTTTTTTATTTTTTATAAATTTGCAAACATTTCTAAAAACCTGTTTTTGCTTTGTCATTATGGGGTATTGTGTGTAGATTCAAGGGGTCTGAATACTTTTCGAAGGCACTGTAGATATAGAGAGCAATAGTAATGGCGTCTTTTGTAGGCTAACTCCGCCTTGGCCTATGGATAAATTAATGCGTTTTGTGGAGGTCTGTGGCTTAGATGTTATACGTTTTGTTCTATGAGATAATCAGCTAACATCACTTTTTGTGAATTTTGAAGCATTTATGTTATCAAAACAAGTAAAAAGCTAACGATGTGCTACCATGTAAAAAATAAAACTACATCTCAGGTTGCATGCCTTTGATGTCTAGCGAACAGGCTAAAGCTTACTGTACGCATCCCAGTCTAAACAGTTAGCGAACATATTATGATATATTTTTTGGACGTTTTTGTTCAATTTGGTCTAAGGCAGGTATGTTTTCGGGTGTTCGTGTGCACAAACATTATTCTTGAGGCAAGTCGAAGTTCGGAAGCTGAAGTCTACGCCCCTTTGTTGATAATTGGTCAACAGTACTACTAGTAGGAGTCGGAACTATGGACGGGATTCTTCAATGAAGTGTTTGTTGTCACTCAACGAGAGAGGGCTAGTTTTCATGCAAAAAAAAACTGCACCAAATTGCGTGATTCTGCAAAAACATAAAAATCACAGATTTCTTGATTTATCTTAGACTAAAGCTAGACTCGGCGATGTGATGAAGAAAGTAAACAAGAGTATCGAAGCGTGAGGCTCAACTTCTCCACTGTTTTGCTTTCCTGGCTACCACGCTTTGAACAGCGTGAAGCGAACCCATGCACATGCGCAGATACTGTGTGTGACTGTGAGAGCATAATCTTGCATCTCGCAATATGTTGATGCTCGTGGCAATGTCATTTTGCTGAGTCTACCTTTAATTTCGGACTATTTTGGAGAAGTGTATACTGGCTATGTTGTTGTTGCTACAGCATCTCAAGCAGGACAAACAATAATATTGCTGTTTTTCAAGCGAAGGTGTTTTAAGGGAGTATGCGAGGCACAGATGTTCGCTATGCCTAGCCGAGTTCCGCTAGGAGCAAACCGAACCTATGTATGCGGACGCCTTTACCTTACCTTGTAAGACAGACCTAAAGTCTCATCTGGACAACATCGTTCAGGAACCAAACGAGCACCTTCCCGCTCCTTGCGCTTTCGTTCACGCTGGGAAGCAGAAAGTTTACTAAGCTAACTAGCTTTTTGTCAGACTGTAGTGTAGACTAGTTTGCGTGGTTGTGACGTGAAAAATGTTGCGACTAACGTTGTAATTTCATTTCTCTGACAGTTAGCTACTCGTTAGCAACATACTTATTTTAAGCACATAAAAGGCTTTATAATTCATAAAGGTCATGTTAACTGACTGATATTATCTCATAGAACAAAATGTATAAGAGCTCTTAAGCCTGTGTTAACCTCAGACCTTATTTTTGGCGTATATCCCAAAACCCCATTATTTTCCCCATAGGAATGCCCAACGAGTACAAAATGCTAACTCATTTTAGTTTTGTAGGACTGCTAGCTAGCGCAAACTCTCACTGCAGAATTAGACCTTAATCCACATTCTCCAAACGTCAAATGTTGAAGTTGCTCCAAACTTTAAAGTTGCTCCTGCTGCTCTGTGTCCTTCCATTTAGCCAAACGTCAAATGTAGAAGTTAAGGGTAAGGCACACATTCCAAATGGTTAAGGTTTGGGATAGGATTAAAATCAGTGCCCACGACTGGGATCGAATGCACAACCTTCTGATCCACAGTCATGAGATTACACCCATTCACCACCCTAGCAAAACCCAAGCCTACTTGATGGTAATAGCATTCACTGTTGCCCCTAGTGGCCAGTTTGAAGGCATTTCCCGACGTCCTCCAATTTCGACGTCAATCTTGAACGACCTGGCTGAACTAGCGAGCTCTATTCTGTAAGAAATGCCATTATACTACGTGTTAAGCTCCTGCATAAATTAAATATTAGTATACAGTATGAGCATCAGGTAGCTGAGTGTCGTTGTTTGTTATGCATTGAAAAAGTCACTCCTCAATTGCATAACTTCGTTCATTTCCAAAATATCGCGAGAAACACGTATCCCACTAAATGCATCACTGACAGCAGGGGCATTTCTATACCTGTGCAGATCAGGTATAAATACATTAGTTAATCAAGAATATAGTACAGTGTTTCAAGTCAGTAATTTTCTGACGTGCAATTATTTGTAAAACTGTAGTGTAGAGATGCTGCATCAGTACATCTGAAACGTCCACCTTTCCTTTAGTGAAAATAATAACCCAGCAGCATCCCTAGTAGTTTGTTTGAGGGCAGAAAATCCATTGAGAGTAAAAACATCTACATTAGTTGTTTAGCAGTGATTTGGCATGTTGAAAACCCCTCAATATAAGTTTACTTATAATATAAAGGTGATTTTGCATACCAGGCTATGATAAAACTCCCAAGGCACTTCCCCAGGTTAAAATGTAATGCAGTAGCTTACTGTATATGTATGTATGTATGTATGTTTGCTCGCCATTTCCCCTTCATTGGCATAATTTTTACTGAAAGGAAACATGAATTTGAAATGAAAAATGTATACTGTAAGTATTCACTGAGACACTTGCATCTATAACATTGGCATCTTTATTGCACAACATTCCCATAAAATTGGGAAAGGATAATTTAAGGAGAAACAATTCATATTGAAATAAATGGAAATAAACTGAATATGTACAATTTACATTAATCATTACACACCATACTAAATGATTTATTCATATTCGTGTATAAAGAGAAAAGTAGATAAAGTCATACCTTCGAGAAATAATCATGGGTTTTACAAAATGCAATAAGTCGAACATATCCTGCAGTGGCCTAGCATCTTACATGATAAGCATGTCAAAATAATCTTAACCAGCAAACTAAATTCTTCAGAAGCCCCTGATCCATTCGTGCTACATGTCCATTAAAGGTAGACTCAGCGATATGACGTAGATGCAGAAAGTAAACAGCATAGTGGGTCAATTTCCGCAACAACTAAGAGTGTTGAAGGGCGAAGCTCAACTTCTCAGCTGTTTTGGTGCCATGGTTACCATGCTGTGAACAGCATGAAGCGAACCTGGGCAGATACTGTGTGTGACTGTGTGAGAGCGAAGACTTGCATCTCGCTCATCCCAAAATCTCCGGTGCTGCTCGTGGCAAACTTCATTTCAATGAGACTCCATTGTATGTGATTCTCTCTCCAGACAATGTACTTCAAAATAAAATGCAACATCAATTTCTTGGTTGGTAAAAATATTTGTAAAAAAACAAAAACAAATCAAATCTGTGGTGTAGATTTGTGGTTTCACCTCTTGCTTTTGTAAAATCAAACGCAGTGTTTTTGTTTTTAGTTAGCCATAATTAAACAGAGTATAGTGTAATGAACTGATACACATATTGCTAACATATATTCCACAAACTCTCCCTTTGTAGCATTCAATACAGCCGTAAACATGGTATAATGGTGGCAAAGCGATAGAAAAGTTTTAAACCGTGAAAATATTTCAGTTTGAAAATATATGTAGATCATTATTTGTTTAGTTGTTTTTTCAAAATACCGCAGTAGAAATGGGCTCTCATTGTACTCCAAAGAGAAATACAATAGTTTTCCCATTTTCAGAAATTCAATTAACATCCCTTTTTCAATAGAGCACAGCATTGTTTTTTTGAACATTCCTCTGATTAAAAATAACAAAAATAATTCCCTCAGGCATTTCTAGCAGGCAACTATAAAAAGCAGATCTGAGGTAGTGTTGTACCTGTGATAAAGTATGTCAAAGCTACATTAAGCATTTTTCAAACCTCTGTTAATAATTAAAATGACTGTATCGATTACCCAGATATGACCTCTAGGCCTATGTTTATAATTAGTGAATGAATTATGGATCATTGAGAGAGACATTTTAGGGCAAGTACACTTGTAAACAAATACATGAAGAACACAGAAAAACAATTGGCATAAAGTGACAATATTCTCTATGATATTTACTAAAATAAATGCATCCTATCCATCTCCGGAGTCCGTTGCTTCCTATGAACTGGTTAAAGATGATACAGAAAAATAGTACATTAAAATAATCCATTTTAGTATCAATGTCTTTATTATTCATCCTCAACAGAAAATGTCTGACGTTGGCTTTCTTGTCCTTTAACAGGGTTAAAAGGGTCTGGATGCGGAGGAGAAAAAAACATTCAAAAAGAAGATAATGAATTAGGGACGCTCCACAGCAGCAGCATGCCTCTCTGGCCTGGAGTTGGCCAGCAGAGCTTCAGCGCTTACTAGCGGCGAGTAGATTGTGGGCTAGACTGCCCCCATGTGGCAGTGTGTTTGTATGCCCAGTGGCAGCAACAGCAGTAGCATAGGTCTCGTATCCATTGAGGTGGCCCTTTCTGTGTCCCAAATGACACCATATTCCCTACATAGTACACTACTTTTGAATAGGATGCCATTTGGGATGTACACCTTGTCCAGGAGACTGTGCACTGCACTAGCCCTCTCTGAGAGCATCAGCAGAGCGTCAGTGGACAGGGTCAAGCCGACATGTCAGTCCAAGGCAGAGCACAGTATCAGTCATACTCCACCTCTGGGCTTTGGTTCCATCTATTATAGCAGTATCTGGGCCACATAGGGAGAGTGAGTGCTCGCCACGGCTGCCAGCAGTGGAAGGTCACTAGACTCAATACTGAAATAAGAGAGCCATGCTTAGAATATTGTACATCGCTAAGCAACAAGCCATGGGTATATTCTCCTAACTCCGTTACTGTGAATGTTATTCAGATGTAAATAACAAAGTGCAGTATTTTAAGAACAGAAAGAACATTGATTACAATATTTATATTTTTAAATAAATGGCACCTTATTCCCTATATAGGGAATAGGTTCCATTTGGGATGCAATGCCAATGTATAAGAACGGTTTAGCTGCTCACCCCAGGACCATTCCAAGCTCCTTGACGTGGACTCTAGTCTGTCCCTTCAGGTACTCTGCCAGCATTTTACTCTTGAAGTAGATCTCCTGGAGTCGGTCCTCTAGGTGCATTATGCACTGAGGAGAGGAGAGTTATAATCTTATTAGAGGTTTGTGATACCGAGTAGCCAAAGTAGGGATTATTCACACTGCTAATAACTGCATGCTAATTTGGCATTTGTATGAACTTACAAAATTGGGGGAGAGGTTCATTTTGTAGAGCTGGTGGGTGGACTGGAGGAGGCTGGATACGAGGCTGGACACCAGGACCTCCTTCCCCAGTTTGTTGTTGTCCGTGGCTCGTCTCTGGCTGCTGGCTACCTGCACCATCCACTTATCAGTGTCTGCGATAATGCAGACAGCCTCTGCAATGGGCTCATCCAACACTGGATGCTGCAAAAATAATAGGAGAAGACTTTGGGCTCAGAAGGCTGCAGACCAGATACAGGATGTTTTATGTGCCTCAAGCATGACGAGGATTAAGTAAGTTAGACTTTAGGGTCTCACGAAGCCTCACAATCCAGTTGTTTAGTGCTTGAGGTATATATCAGTCTCTTACCTGTACAGCGTGGGCCAATTCTGACATGAGGCCCTGCCTTAACTTGTCATCGTTGGGCATCCCCTGCAGAACAAAGTCCGGCACATTGGTCGGACAGTACCCTCCGAACAGGGACCTCCCAAAGTTGGCAATGCTCGGTTTGGAGAAATTCTCCACCAGCTTTGACCTGTTGATTTAAAACATGGCATAGACGACATCAGAACATATTCTACCACTTATAACTCACATAGAAGTTGATATGTACGTTGAAAACATAATATGAATGCAAACAGATGTTTTTAATGTTGACATCAATAGCACTGTAAAACTCAGACGTATACTGTATGAAAGTGGCCAAGCCATTGGTTCAGAGGCAGTGTGTATCTCACCCAGGGAAGGGGACCTCCACCTCCTCCTGCCACTCGTCTGGTTCCTGATCCTCTCTGTAGTAGATGTCGCTCTCGCTCTGCCTGTGGATGTCCTGCCCTGTGTCTTCGCTCTCGCTGTCCCCCAACGCACTGTCCGAACTCTCGTTCCGGGGGATCTCCCAGTCATTAAGCGGGGCCACCTTCTTTTGTTGGTTCTCTTTGTTGTCCCCTTGGCGGACCGTTACTGAAATCACGATGCCCTTGTCCTGCTCAGCAGAACAACTCCTACAGGAGCCTGCCTCCGACGTGTCCGTGGAGCAACACCTACACCTGGTCTGGACGTCAGCCTCCCCCACACCCACACCCACACCCACACCTACCTGTCCCGTACCCTCCTGTCCCTTAGTGCTACTGCTGCTCTGGACTCCCGAAGGGTCCAGCAGCTCTTTCTGGGTTTTGTCCGTGCCGCTCGACAACTCCAGGCGTTTCGCCACGTCGTCTATAGTCCTGGTCTCTACAGGGTTGTCGTCACTGAAGTACTCATTGAACAGCTCCGAGCACTCCTCCTCGCTGACAGGGTTCCACTGGGGCATCTTACTGGAGACGCGCATCAGAGTCTTCTCCCCCCTCCCGTTGGTCCTGGTTTGGTCCGCTGATGTGCCGGTTGTAGACACCACCCGCTGATCACCACCATTACTGCTCCCACTCTGATGCTGCTGCTGCTGTTGTTGATGTTGTTGTTGTAGTAACTGTTGCTGCTGTTGTCGTCGTAGTTTCTGTTGATGTTGTTGTTGTAGTAGCTGTTGTTGCGCTTGATGTAGTAGTTGCTGCTGCCTCTGTTTCTCCTTGATGTACTTCTTGTGCTTCTTAATGTCCTCCTCCACCTTCTTCCTCCTGTTCTCGGTGTCTGACTCTGGGGACTGGGGGTCGCCGATGAGAAACAGCACTTTGGTGGCAGGCTCCTCTCGGTGGTTTGACAGAAAAGGCCCGGGTACAGGTACAGGTATGGTCTTGTCAGGGGGCTTCTTCTCCAGTGGTATCCCTGAGGAGCGGAACACCTTGATGGGCATCTCCTTTGTCACCTCCTCCTGGCTGGCCTTGACCTCCAACTCTGCCTCAGGCTCGGTCTCCAGGCGCACACAGGCTTGCTCCCTGGGGGAGGCTGAGCCCACACGCATCAGTGTCTCCAGCTTGGCCTCCACACAGGCGGTTGGTGACTCCTTGAGCGGCGTGGGCTCACTAACATCCTCCGTGTGGATGATGATGGGCACAGTGTTGGTGTTGTGGCTGGAGGCCTGCAGGACGCTGCTCTTGGAGCCCTGGCTGTTGTTACTACTGTCCCCCTCCTCGTCCTCCTCAGGCCCATTGCCAGCCTCAGAGTCTGTGTAGGTGCTACTCTGCAGGCTGTTGTTGCTGTCTGAGGGGTAGTTGCTGTCCTCTCGGGGCTCGGGACCCTGGCTCAGGTAGTCTCCACTAGGTTTGTGCATGGTGACCAGCACATAGTCGGACTCCTCCACCTCCCCACGCCGCAACGAGGTGGTGATGAGGGAGCCGGGGATGACGATGGCTTCGTCTTCAGCGCTGTCAAGCATGTGGGTCTCCAGCAGCTCCGAGCAGCGGATGAAGTAGGTGAGCACGTAGAGGAGTCTCTGGACTAGCTCCTGTCTCCGACCCACCACAACCGTCCTGGACAGACGCACCGGGGAGCCGATGGCCCCGTACAAGTCACCTACAGGCACAAAACAAACAACACCACAGTTAACGACAGTTAATCCCAATTAACTACACAACTTTGTTACATACGGTACCAGTCAAAAGTTTGGACACACCTACTCATTCCAGGGTTTTTCTTAAATTTGTAGAATAATAATATATTTGAAATTCTTCAAAGTAGCCACCCTTTGCCTTGATGACAGCTTTGCATACACTTGGCATTCTCTCAACCAGCTTCATGAGGTAGTCACCTGGAATGCATTTCAATTAACAGGTGTGCCTTGTTAAAAGTTAATTTGTGGAATTTCTTAATGGTGTTTGAGCCAATCAGTTGTGTTGTATAGAAGATAGCCCTATTTGGTAAAAGACCAAGTCCATATTATGGCAAGAACAGCTCAAATAAGCAAAGAGAAACGACAGTCCATCATTACTTTAAGACATGAAGGTCAGTCAATACGGAAAATGTCAAGAACTTTGAAAGTTTCTTCAAGTGCAGTCGCAAAAACCATCAAGCGCTATGATGAAATTGGCTATCATGAGGACCGCCACAGGAAAGGAAGACCCAGAGTTACCTCTGCTGCAGAGGATAAGTTCATTAGAGTTACCAGCCTCAGATTGCAGCCCAAATAAATGCTTCACAGAGTTCAAGTAACAGACGCATCTCAACATCAACTGTTCAGAGGGGACTGTGTGAATCAGGCCTTCATGGTCGAATTGCTGCAAAGAAACCACTACTAAAGGACAATAAGAAAAGACGACTTGCTTGGGCCAAGAAACACGAGGAATTGACATTAGACCGGTGAAAATGTTCCTTTGGTCTGGAGTCCAAATTTGAGATTTTTGGTTCCAACCGCCATGTCTTTGTGAGACGCAGAGTAGGTGAACGGATGATCTCCGCATGCGTGGTTCCCACTGTGAAGCATGGAGGAGGAGATGTGATGGTGTGGAGGTGCTTTGCTGTTGACACTGATTTATTTAGAATTCAAGGCACACTTAACCAGCATGGCTACCACAGCATTATGCAGTGATACGCCATCCCATCTGGTTTGGGCTTAGTGGGACTATCATTTGTTTTTTAACAGGACAATGACCCAACACACATCCAGGCTGTGTAAGGGCTATTTGACCAAGAAGCAGAGTGACTAAGTGCTGCATCAGATGACCTGGCCAATTGAGATGGTTTGGGATGAGTTGGACCGCAGAGTGAAGGAAAAGCAGCCAACAAGTGTTAGAAAAACATTCCAGGTGAAGCTGGTTGAGAGAATGCCAAGAGTGTGCAAAGCTGAAATCAAGGCAAAGGTTGGCTATTTGAAGAATCTCAAATATAAAATATATTTTGATATGTTTAGCACTTTTTTGGTTACTACATGATTCCATATGTGTTATTTTATAGTTTTGATGTCTTCACTATTATTCTACAATGTAGCTACAATTAAAATATGAAAATGTGGTCAAAAGTGTATAACTTTTACATTTGTGAGAGTGAGGGAATCAGTGCTCTGTGTTGCGTTTGATCCTTTTCAGCCACTAGTTGGAGTTGTACACTAAAGTTGCCTGTGCTAAAATGAAGCCCACTATTTGGTATTTACAGCTAGTCACTGCTAAGTATAGGATCGTCTTTTAATAGTCGACTATACAGAGATATTTCTGGCCATGTTATTTAACATGAAGTGAGTGATGATGACTTTCATACCATCTGACAGCTTGAAAAATCAAACCTGACAAACATGCATGCCATGTTGGGATGGAATTTAAGGATTGTGAGCACTGGCCAGCTGACCTAGTAGACTGCGACTTCTACTAACCCAGGTAAGATTCGATCTGTCCTTACCGAGCTGGGCCCACAGAGGGTTGTAGGGGTGGGTCTTGGCCAGCATGTCCACGCTCTGAGAGGAGTGTTTCTCCAGAAAGATCTTGATGGGCGGCTGTCCGTTGGGCATGACGGTGGGCACCCAGGCCAGGTGGTTGGTGAGGATGGCTGTGAGGAGGGCAGGGAGGAACCTGGGAGAAGAGGATGAGAGAGTGGTCATGCGCCTGCTCTCCACATACTGGTTGTGTCCCAAAGTGACAACTTTTTCCTTATTTAGTGCACTACTTTTGACCAGGGCTCTGGTCAAAAGTAGTGCACTACATAGGGAATAAGGTTCCATTTTGGACGCATAAACTGTCTACTGCTTCCACTCTCTGTCTGACTCATTTCTCTCAATCTCCACCAACACCACAGCCTCGTGTTCTGCTGCTTCCCTCTTCTCTAACTCATGATCATTCAAAGATACATCATAGTGGTCACAGGTCAGTCTAAATCACGTGGCAGTAGACTACTGCATAGTAGACTACTGCATACTAATGCAGTGAGTGGAACATTGGAGAAGTTCAGCTTGGTTTTGTAACCTCTACAAAAACAAGCTAAAGATTGGCAGGGATTCCTGACTTTTCAGCTCATTCACTATTGCACACACACAGCACTCACAGACAGAGAAACAGACAGACAGGAGCACTCAACTGGTTTTTTGAAGCCTGCTCCATGAGCAGGGAGAGCTCCCTCATGAACTGTCCACAGAGCTGGTTCTTCTCAGGGGCTCCAGACATCATGGTGAGCCAAACGGGCTCGGCCACGCGGGGCATGGTGTAAAGGTTGACGATGGTCGTCCTGGAGAGGGGGAGGGAGAAACACAAGCCATCATTGTCTCGGGGTGAACAAGAGGGTCACAGTTCTCAGTCCAGGCCCTGCTTACAAGGGAGACCCTCTCTCTGAGGCAATTCAGCGTCTGGAAATTCCACAGCGGGAAGCAGTCCAGAGTTTTCCACAGAACTGAGGCATCTCTGAGGATGGAGGAACGTGCGGTATTATAGTTTTAGAGCCCAGATGTTTGCTGATAAGTGAGGAAAACAAGTAGTGTAACTATCGAACAAGAGCTATAGGTTATAGGAAGGAGATGACAGTTAGTGAGGAGATAGATGATGTGTGGTCTTTCCCTGAATGGAATTCACAGAAACTAAAGATAAACACAAATATACCGACTTGAACCCAGGGCTCAAGTTGCCTGAGGCATATCGCGTCTCCTTTTACAACAGCAGTGTTGTTTACATCAGATTTTGGTTTGAACTGACTGGGCTAATTTTGACACACTGCTAGGAAATATGCAGACCGCCTAACTAATATCCCTTCAACCCCACTCTCCCCTCCTCATGTTATTATTCAACAAACACATACATCCAAAACCTTTAGGTAAAGTTCATCACAGCAACAATTATGACATAAGCTATTAAAAGCCCCTGGCGTGGCATGGCGTGGGTAGGGACGCGGGGAAGCCTGCCCACGGTCTAGACTTACATCCCTTCTGACCAGCTGTTCAGGTGAACTTTAAGGCAGCGACGGGACGTGAAGGTACGTCAAGTCCACTGGACATTTATAAAACCGACTGAGTCTTAGTTTAGACTTCATTCATTCCCCGTGACCTCAATACCAATGTTGTGCAGGCAGAGCATTTTAAGTCAGTCAACGAACGAAGAGACTCGAGCTGTTTTCATCATATCCCAATCTGACAAGATATCCAATCAGCATAGTATGTGTGCGTGATTCCATCTTAGTAACACTCTGCAGTGCCTCCGTGGGTATGTGTGTGTATTATACCAAACTGCGTCAATTTACACCTGACTTCGTCATCAAGCGGCATTTCTTCTGTTTTGAGCAATTATGTTTCCATGACCTCAGTGACCAATGGTCAAACACAAATATAAATCGGGCGACTATATTGGCCTTCCTGCTGATGGCACTGACATATTATTTACTCTTCTGGTAGCCCGGACACTGTCTGAAGGAGATAGTGTTTCCTCAGCGAGGGGGATTGGGTTGCCGTGGCACAGCGCCAGCAGGCATATGACTGCAGCAACGGGAAGCCTTCACACACGCTGCCCAACACATCTCTCCCTCCCCTCCCACCGCATCAGTGGCTCTGCAGCATGGGATTTCCCAGCATACACTGGGAGCAGCAGGGGTGTAGCTGGCCTGTCGTCACCGTGTGCGAGTGTGAACAGGACAGGTAGGGACTACATGCTCCCTCTCTGCTTACAGTGCAGATTATTAATGAGCTTATTTTGGCTGGGCTTGTGAGAACACCGTGTGTGGACACTGGCCACTGTTAGGAAGGTCACACTACATCACACTAACTTAACCTAAGGTGTGGATTAATGAGCTACTGCTCGCTGACATTTTGATATACACTACCAGTCAAAGGTTTGGACACACCTACTCATTCAAGGGTTTTTCTTTATTTTTACTATTTCTTACATTGTAGAATAATAGTGAAGAAATAACACATATGGAATCATGTAGTAACCAAAAAAAGTATTAGACAAATCAAAATATATCTTATATTTGAGATTCTTCAAATAGCCACCCTTTGCCTTGATGACAGCTTTGCACACTCTTGGCATTCTCTCAACCAGCTTCATGAGGTAGTCACCTGGAATGCATTTCAATTGACAAGTGTGCCTTCTTAAAAGTTAATTTGTGGAATTTATTTCCTTCTTAATGCACAAGTCCATATTATGGCAAGAACAGCTCAAATAAGCAAAGAGAAACGGCAGTCCATCATTACTTTAAGACATGAAGGTCAGTCAATACGGAACATTTCAAGAACTTTGAACGTTTCTTCAAGTGCAGTCGCAAAAACCATCAAGCGCTATGATGAAACTGGCTCTCATGAGGACCGCCACAGGAATGGAAGAGCCAGAGTTACCTCTGCTGCAGAGGATAAGTTCATTAGAGTTACCAGCCTCAGAAATTGCAGCCCAAATAAATGCTTCACAGAGTTCAAGTAACAGACACATCTCAACATCAACTGTTCAGAGGAGACTGTGTGAATCAGGCCTTCATGGTCGAATTGCTGCACAGAAACAACTACTAAAGGACACCAATAAGAAGAAGAGACTTGCTTGGGCCAAGAAACATGAGCAATGGACATTAGACCGGTGGAAATTTGTCCTTTGGTCTGGAGTTCAAATTGGAGATGTTTGGTTCCAACCACTGTGTCTTTGTGAGACGCAGTGTGGGTGAACGGATGATCTCCGCATGTGTATTCCCCACCGTAAAGCATGGAGGAGGTGGTGTTATGATGTGAGGGTGCTTTGCTGGTGACACACCGTCTGTGATTTATTTAGAATTCAAGGCACACTTAACCAGCATGGCTAACAAAACATTCTGCAGCGATACGCCATCCCATCTGGTTTGGGCTTAGTGGGACTATCATTTGTTTTTCAACAGGACAATGACCCAAAACACAACTCCAGGCTGTGTAAGGGCTATTTTACCAAGAAGGAGAGTGATGAAGTGCTGCATCAGATGACCTGGCCTCCACAATCCCCTGACCTCAAACCAATTGAGATGGTTTGGGATGAATCGGACGGCAGAGTGAAGGAAAAGCAGCTAACAAGTGCTCAGCATATGTGGGAACTCCTTCAAGACTGTGGGAAAAGCATTCCAGGTGAAGGTGGTTGAAAGAATGCCAAGAGTGTGCAAAGCTGTCATCAAGGCAAAGGGTGGCTATTTGAAGACTCTCAAATATAAAATATATTTTGTTTGTTTTTTTAAAAATGTGGTTACTACATGATTCCATATGTGTTCTTTCATAGTTTTGATGTGTTCACTATTATTCTACAATGTAAAAAAATAGTACAAATAAAGAAAAACCCTTGAATGAGTAGGTGTGTCCAAACTTCTGACTGGTACTGTATGTTACATAAAAGGAAATATACAGAGTCGCTATGGCAACAAACTATCCCTACACCTGTCCTCCCTCCCCTCCTGCTTCATTGTCAGTGTGGTTTGCCTCAGTCTCAGTAAACACATGAAAGTAAGAGTAACTCACCTAAATTCATTGAGGCCATCCACCATGCGGCTGTAAGCCAAAGCCCTCTGACAGGCATCAGCTGATCGCCGGCTCATTTTCATGGCCTTGTAAATGAGAATAGAGGCATGTTAAAAGGCATGTACTTAGAGGAGGGGGAGAAGAGGGGTGGGGGAGTAGCGAGAGAGACTACACACACTGACAAGAACAGAGACCTGATACAGTGCCTTCAGAAAGTATTCACACCCCTTGACTTTTTCCACATTTTGTTGTGGTATTAAAATTGATTTACTTGTCATTTTTCGTCAACGATCAACACAAAATACTCTAACGTCAAAGTGGAAGAACAATTCTAACATTTGTAAAACTTTTATGAAAAATAAAGCACTAATACAGTTGAAGTCGGAAGTTTACATACAGTGGGGAAAAAAAGTATTTAGTCAGCCCCCAATTGTGCAAGTTCTCCCACTTAAAAAGATGAGAGAGGCCTGTAATTTTCATCATAGGTACACGTCAACTATGACAGACAAATTGAGAAAAGAAATTCCAGAAAATCACATTGTAGGATTTTTTATGAATTTATTTGCAAATTATAGTGGAAAATAAGTATTTGGTCACCTACAAACAAGCAAGATTTCTGTCTCTCACAGACCTGTAACTTCTTCGTTAAGAGGCTCCTCTGTCCTCCACTTGTTACCTGTATTAATGGCACCTGTTTGAACTTGTTATCAGTATAAAAGACACCTGTCCACAACCTCAAACAGTCACACTCCAAACTCCACTATGGCCAAGACCAAAGAGCTGTCAAAGGACACCAGAAACAGAATTGTAGACCTGCACCAGGCTGGGAAGACTGAATCTGCAATAGATAAGCAACTTGGTTTGAAGAAATCAACTGTGGGAGCAATTATTAGGAAATGCAAGACATACAAGACCACTGATAATCTCCCTCGATCTGGGGCTCCACGCAAGATCTCACCCCGTGGGGTCAAAATGATCACAAGAACGGTGAGCAAAAATCTGAAGATGAAACGTGGCTGGGTCTTTCAGCATGACAATGATCCCAAACACACCGCCCGGGTAACGAAGGAGTGGCTTCGTAAGAAGCATTTCAAGATCCTGGAGTGGCCTAGCCAGTCTCCAGATCTCAACCCCATAGAAAATCTTTGGAGGGAGTTGAAAGTCCGTGTTGCCCAGCGACAGCCCCAAAACATCACTGCTCTAGAGGAGATCTGCATGGAGGAATGGGCCAAAATACCAGCAACAGTGTGTGAAAACCTTGTGAAGACTTACAGAAAACGTTTGACCTGTGTCATTGCCAACAAAGGGTATATAACAAAGTATTGAGAAACTTTTGTTATTGACCAAATACTTATTTTCCACCATAATTTGCAAATAAATTCATAAAAAATCCTACAATGTGATTTTCCGGATTTTTTCTCTCTCATTTTGTCTGTCATAGTTGACGTGTACCTATGATGAAAATTACAGGCCTCTCTCATCTTTTTAAGTGGGAGAACTTGCACAATTGGTGGCTGACTAAATACTTTTTTTCCCCACTATACACCTTAGTCCAAGTACATTTAAACTTCCTGATATTTAATCCTAGTAAAAACTCCCTGTCTTAGGTCAGTTAGGATCACCACTTTATTTTAAGAATGTGAAATGTCAGAATAATAGAGAGTATTATTTATTTCAGCTTTTATTTATTTCATCACATTCCCAGTGGGTCAGAAATTTACATACACTCAATTAGTATTTGGTAGCATTGCCTTTAAATTGTTTAACTTGGGTCAAACGTTTCGGGTAGCCTTCCACAAGCTTCCCACAATAAGTTGGGTGAATTTTGGCCCATTCCTCCTGACAGAGCTGGTGTAACTGAGTCAGGTTTGTAGGCCTCCTTGCTCGCACACGCCTTTTCAGTTCTGCCCACAAATGTTCTATAGGATTGAGGTCAGGGCTTTGTGATGGCCACTCCAATACCTTGACTTTGTTGTCCTTAAGCCATTTTGCCACAACTTTGGAAGTATGCTTGGGGTCATTGTCCATTTGGAACACCCATTTGCGACCAAGCTTTAACTTCCTGACTGATGTCTTGAGATGTTGCTTCAATATATCCACATCATTTTCCTTCCTCATGATGCCATCTATTTTGTGAAGTGCACCAGTCCCTCCTGCAGCAAAGCACCCCCACAGCATGATACTGCCACCCCCGTGCTTCACGGTTGGGATGGTGTTCTTCGGCTTGCAAGCCTTCCCCTTTTTCCTCCAAACATAACGATGGTCATTATGGCCAAACAGTTCTAATTTTGTTTCATCAGACCAGAGGACATTTCTCCAAAAAGTAGTGCAGTGCAGTTGCAAACCGTAGTCTGGCTTTTTTATGGCGGTTTTGGAGCAGTGGCTTCTTCCTTGCTGAGCGGCCTTTCAGGTTATGTCGATATAGGACTCGTTTTACTGTGGATATAGATACTTGTGTACCGGTTTCCTCCAGCATCTTCACAAGGTCCTTTGCTGTTGTTCTGGGATTGATTTGCACTTTTTGCACCAAAGTACGTTAATCTCTAGGAGACAGAACGCGTCTACTTCCTGAGCGGTATGACGGCTGCGTGGTCCCATGGTGTTTATACTTGCGTACTATTGTTTGTACAGATGAATGTGGTACCTTCAGGCGTTTGTAAATTGCTCCCAAGGATGAACCAGACTTGTGGAGGTATACAAAAAAAAAATTCTGAGGTCTTGGCTAATTTATTTTGATTTTCCCATGATGTCAAGCAAAGAGGCACTGAGTTTGAAGGTAGGCCTTGAAATACATCCACAGGTACACCTCCAATTGACTCAAATGATGTCAATTAGCCTATCAGAAGCTTCTAAAGCCATGACATCATTTTCTGGAATTTTCCAAGCTGTTTAAAGGCACAGTCAACATAGTGTATGTGAACTTCTGACCCACTGGAATTGTGATACAGGGAATTATAAATGAAATAATCTGTCTGTAAACAATTGTTGGAAAAACTACTTGTGTCATGCACAAAGTAGATGTCCTAACCGACTTGCCAAAACTATAGTTTGTTATCAAGAAGTTTGTGGAGTGGTTGAAAAACGAGTTTTAATGACTCCAACCTAAGTGTATGTAAACTTCCGACTTCAACTGTATATCTTGATTAGATAAGTATTCAACCCCCTGAGTGAATACATGTTAGAATCACCTTTGGCAGCGATTATAGCTGTGACTCTTTCTGGGTAAGTCTCGAAGAGCTTTCCACACCTGGATTGTGTAACATTTGCCCATTATTCTTTAAAAAATGATTCAACCTCTATCAAATTGGTTGTTGATCATTGATAGACAACCATTTTCAGGTTTTGCCATAGATTTTCAAGCAGATTTAGGTGAAAACTGTCTTCTTGGTAAGCAACTCCAGTGTAGATTTGGCCTTGTGTTTTAGGTTATTGTCCTGCTGAAAGGTGAATTCATCTCCTAGTGTCTGATGGAAAGCAGACTGAACCAGGTTTTCCTCTAGGACTATACTTGTGCTTAGCTTCATTCCATTTAATTTTATCCTCAAAAACTCTGCAGTCCTTAACGATTACAAGCATACCCATAACATGATGCAGCCACCACATGCTTGAAAATATGGAGAGTGGTACTCAGTAACGTGTTGTATTGGATTTGCCCCAAACATAACACTTCGTATTCAGGAAAAAAAGTTATTTTCTTTGCTACATTTTTTGCAGTATTACTTTAGTGCCTTGTTGCAAACAGGATGCATGTTTTGGAGTATTATTTTTTCTGTAGAGGCTTCCTTCTTCTCACTCTGTCAGTAGGTTAGTATTGTGGAGTAACTACAATGTTGTTGATCCATCCTCAGTTTTCTCCTATCACAGCCAATAAACAAACTGTTTTAAAGTCACCATTAACCTCATGGTGAAATCCCTCAGCGGTTTCCTTCATCTCCGGCAACTGAGTTAGGAAGGACAGCTATATCTTTGTAGTGATGGTGTATTAATACACCATCCAAAGTGTCATTAATAATTTCACTAGTCTCAAAGGGATATTCAGTCTTTTTTTTTTTTTTACCCATCTGCCCTTCTTTGCAAGGCATTGGAAAACCTCCCTGGTCTTTGTGGTTGAATCTGTGTTTGAAATCCACTGCTCGACTGAGGGACCTTAGAGATAATTGTATATGTGGGGTACAGAGATGAGGTATTCATTCAAAATTCATGTTAAACACTATTATTGCACACAGAGTCAGTCCATGCAACTTATTATGTGACTTGTTAAACAAATGTTAGGCTTGTCATAACAAAGGGGCTGAATACTTATTAACTCAAGACATTTGAGCTTTTCATTTTTAATAATTTGTCAAAATTTCAAAAAACATAATTCCACTTTGACATTATGGGGTATTGTGTACAGGCCAGTGAGAAAAACTCTCACTTTAATCCATTTTAAAGTCAGGCTGTAACACAACAAAATGTGGAAAAAGTCAAGGGGTGTGAATACTTTCTGAAAGCACTGTAAATAATACATACAGCCACAAAAAAAATACATGGCGCTGACAGATCTAACACAGAAGTCGAGATTTAACACAAGATGGTTTTTACTTTTCCATTTTAGGCCCACATACATTGTATATGTTTAACACACTGTGCAAGTCTGATTGAATGCTTCCCCCCTCTCCATTCCCTACATATTATTTTGTATATCTAACATCTCTGTCTCTGTCAAATACACCAGGGAGACTTTTCCACACACCGACAACAATATCTATGTGAGCAGCTCCTCACCTGTTCGATGGCACTTTTGAGTTTGTTCATGTGGCTCTCGAAGAGGGGGAAGTGGGAGAAGAAGAAGTCCTGGAACTTGCTGTTCTCCTCCTCATCCTGGGAGAGGAGGAAAATGACGCCAATGGCTATCTTCTTCTTCCTAGCCACGCCCAGGCTAGGACCGCCGCTCTCATCCGACATGTTGAAGCTCTCCTCCACAGACCTGGGGCAGGGGGGGAAACCATAAACATAAATTCTATGGGGGACACAGAGACATCGTGACTATGAAGTGAACGCCAGGATTATTAACAGGCAAAAGTCAAAGGAGAGAGTTAAATGATGCCTTATGATGGTATAAGATCTCAACCTGGAAAAAGTGGAGAACCATAGACAATAGTTATATACAGTGGGGAGAACAAGTATTTGATACACTGCCGATTTTGCAGGTTTTCCTACTTACAAAGCATGTAGAGGTCTGTAATTTTTATCATAGGTACACTTCAACTGTGAGAGACGGAATCTAAAACAAAAATCCAGAAAATCACATTGTATGATTTTTAAGTAATTAATTTGCATTTTATTGCATGACATAAGTATTTGATACATCAGAAAAGCAGAACTTAATATTTGGTACAGAAACCTTTGTTTGCAATTACAGAGATCATATGTTTCCTGTAGGTCTTGACCAGGTTTGCACACACTGCAGCAGGGATTTTGGCCCACTCCTCCATACAGACCTTCTCCAGATCCTTCAGGTTTCGGGGCTGTCGCTGGGCAATACGGACTTTCAGCTCCCTCCAAAGATTTTCTATTGGGTTCAGGTCTGGAGACTGGCTAGGCCACTCCAGGACCTTAAGATGCTTCTTACTGAGCCACTCCTTAGTTGCCCTGGCTGTGTGTTTCGGGACGTTGTCATGCTGGAAGACCCAGCCACGACCCATCTTCAATGCTCTTACTGAGGGAAGGAGGTTGTTGGCCAAGATCTCCTGTCCCCTTTGCAGAAAAGCATCCCCAAAGAATGATGTTTCCACCTCCATGCTTCACAGTTGGGATGGTGTTCTTGGGGTTGTACTCATCCTTCTTCTTCCTCCAAACACGGCGAGTGGAGTTTAGACCAAAAAGCTCTATTTTTGTCTCATGAGACCACATTACCTTCTCCCACTCCTCCTCTGGATCATCCAGATGGTCATTGGAAAACTTCAGACGGGCCTGGACATGCGCTGGCTTGAGCAGGGGGACCTTGCGTGCGCTGCAGGATTTTAATCCATGACGGCGTAGTGTGTTACTAATGGTTTTCTTTGAGACTGTGGTCCCAGCTCTCTTCGGGTCATTGACCAGGTCCTGCCGTGTAGTTCTGGGCTGATCCCTCACCTTCCTCATGATCATTGATGCCCCACGAGGTGAGATCTTGCATGGAGCCCCAGACCGAGGCGATTGACCCTCATCTTGAACTTCTTCCATTTTCTAATAATTGCGCCAACAGTTGTTGCCTTCTCACCAAGCTGCTTGCCTATTGTCCTGTAGCCCATCCCAGCCTTGTGCAGGTCTACAATTTTATCCGTGATGTCCTTACACAGCTCTCTGGTCTTGGCCATTGTGGAGAGGTTGGAGTCTGTTTGATTGAGTGTGTGGACAGGTGTCTTTTATACAGGTAACGAGTTCAAACAGGTGCAGTTAATACAGGTAATGAGTGGAGAACAGGAGGGCTTCTTAATGAAAAACGAACAGGTCTGTGAGAGCCGGAATTCTTACTGGTTGGTAGGTGATCAAATACTTATGTCATGCAATAAAATGCAAATTAATTACTTAAAAATCATACAATGTGATTTTCTGGATTTTTGTTTTAGATTCCATCTCTCACAGTTGAAGTGTACTACCTATGATACAAATTACAGACCTCTACATGCTTTGTAAGTAGGAAAACCTGCAAAATCGGCAATGTATCAAATACTTGTTCTCCCCACTGTACATATATATCTCTATGGGGAAACACACAAAATCAGGATAGATAGAGCACCAAGAGTAGTTGATAGTCTTCAACAGGGAAAACTCCCAGAATAAACAATAAGGTAATGACAAGCCATCTTATAGGTAGCAACAAGCCATCGCTCTTATAGATGGCAATGATGGTGTAAGTAGCCTAAAACCAGGTGCTGATCCATCTCATGTCTTTGCAGTGTGATTACTCAACATGTTTTTCTGCATCTAAAAGACCCACGTACACAGAGTCAGGGAGCTCTATGGCTCACATACGACTTCTGGGAGCTGGCTGTAGGCTAAGTGTAGTCAAATAACAACTGAAATACCTAAATGTCATTTGTAACAGTCTACTGGTCATGTACTATTAAGCCAACACCAGTAACAGTGTGTTTGGTGTCCTGTAATTGATATGTGTAGCTAGAATTCAGGGAGTGGCCAGTGGGCCCACACAGTATTATGGCCAGTCATTTGTATATAGCAGTATGCCTGCTGGAATTTGAGGATGTCCTCGGGGGCTCCACTTCACATGGGCGTTCGAGAGGCCCTGACGGGGGGACACCAGAAGGGGAGTGTGTGTCTGTGTGTGTCATTGTGTTTAGCTGCTGTCTCACCATCTTGGGAAGACCCCGTTTTCGAGACTGGTGGTCTGGCTGCGGAGCCAGCGTCTCTGGTAGCTACTGGCCTGGCTGCTGGTGAGGGAGGAGCCCGGGGAGGGGAACGGAGTGATCAATAGACTGCTCAGAGACGCTGTGGAGGGAGGGAGGCAGAGATAGAGCAAGTGAGAGAAGAGGAATGAAAGAGGGGAGAATGGGAGTAACAGAGAGCCATAGAAGTGTAGAGAGCAAAAGAGAGGAGTTGAGGAATGAGAAAGAGGAGAGAGAACAAAAGGAGAGAATAGAAGAGAGGGGGAGGGTAAAAGAGAGAGGAGGAGGAGTGAGTCAGTCAGGAAGGTTACTCATACACAACAGAACAGGGGAAACTCACATAGCACACGTCCACACTGCATTCGTTCAGCTTCCCACAGCCCTCCCTGATTATTACAGCATGGCTGGGACATTCAATATCACCTCACAGTCACAAGGAAAGCTGGCCCAATACCAGGTACTGCATAGGCATAGATCAATGGAGGCACACCAAATGTTTTTGTGATTGAGGACTAGGGCGGTGTATGGGTGTAGGAGGAGGAGAAGGGGAGTTTGTTTGTGTGTGTGTGTAAAGGGGACCAAATAAGACCCTCATTTACTAGTACAGGGTTTTGGGAGCTGCTATATTTAAGCATCTGCATGTGACGCGGGTGTTTGACAGAAAGTGAGATCCCCCTCATGCCGGCAATGCCAGGGCTGGGGGTCAGTTTCCACTGCACAAGACTTTCCAGCACCTCTCTCTTCTCCACACCCCCCATGAAGGATGGCTATATGGTGGCAGTGGGGTCAATGAATGGAAAAGTCCGTTAACATCTGCGCTATGCCTTCATTAGAGAAGGCCCCGCTCAAACATAGTGCACTATGTAGGACACAGGGTGCCATTTGGGATGCAACCCTGGTGTCACTCTCAATCCAGTTTGACCTTGAAGAGAAAGAAATGCTGTGTGGAGCTGACTGGTCTACAGCCGTGACCCAGAAGAACGTGGCTTCATCTAAACTCATTAGTTGTTACATCACTCTTGTTTAGAGATGGTTCAGCGAGAGAGGACAAACCAGTGAGGTGAATCTAGTACTAATACCCATTAACCTAGTTGCAACATCTCAGAGACATATAAGGCTTAGTATCAGCGCAGGGTGTCTAGTGAGGCCAATCCTGGATTTAGTTTAAAGTCATTACCTGATCTGGCGATACCGCTGTCTCTCTCGTCGTACAGGCTTCTGCCCGGCATGTCCATGGGGTTACTGTGGCCTGCAGGAGGGAGAGGAGGGGAAAGACTTTGAGAAACAGACCAGGCCGACTCGGGTCACTGAGGAGCGCAAGCCGGGAGGGGTGCCAGTGCTTTACCCAGCACCACTCTCAAAGCATGGGGCCACCTTCACTACCACCGAACATTCATTTCAAAATGACCAAGTCCACCAATTACATATCACCACAGTGCAACACTTCCTACAGGAAAAAACACAAGCAGGTGCTGGGCCTCTACTAGGGTAATGTGGTTTGTTGCGTTTCTCACTCTAGCCCCACTCTGTTGAAGCAGGTGCAGCAGCAGTAGCATAGGAGATACATGTACGTTTGTATGATCTCAGATGTTTACTTCGGCGTTAACACAATAGGCTAAATGACAAAAGGAAAGTTCACACTATAGTTTACGAGTGCAGAAAATGTAAACCTCTCATTGCATGTGGTGTCAAAGGCATTGTTTGGTGTTGTCCTGTTGATATGATTTACGGTCAAATCAACACAAGCTTTGCAGCAACGCACCGTTAACCCCGCTCACCCTGGCCTGCACCGTATGAACATTCCACTTTAGCATAGCTAGAGCGCTACTTGCTGTGCCGTGCCACCTAGCTGTGGCTTACAGAGGGTCACAGGGAGGCTATTTATACGTAAATCACCACCCCTGCCACCACTCCATTAAAACAAGGGGAGAGGTTTCGGCGGTTAGGGGAGAGAGGGAGGAAAAGGAGGAGGGGGGACGGAGAGTAGGAGGGAGCGATGGAAGGAGGGAGGGAGGAAAGTGAGGAAAGTGAGGAATACAACAACCAGCAGCAACACCCTAAAGCAGATCTTGACCATGCCCGTAATTCACTTGCAGACACATGCAGCGTACGTACACATGCATGCAACTGCACACAAGCACACTGCAAACCTGAAAAGAAAGAGGCACTCTTGATGAGGCGGAGCGGGCCCTGCTCAGAGAAGGCCCGCCGTGGGCTGCAGAGCTGAGATAAACCTGCGCAGCACAAACGGACAGGGAGAAGAGACAAAACAAAACAGGACATGAACCACGGTTAGTAGTGAAGCAGGAGGCTAACTACCATGTACGCACTCTAACCCGACGGAGAGACGGACAACCTGGAGCAGTCTGGGACCACAATGTGACCACAACGGAACCACAACGTCCGTTGGATATGTTTAGTTTCCACGGAGTAGTCAGTCAGGTGGACTGCGATCCCACACAGAAAATACAACCTCACAGCAAAAGGCTTTTTAGAAACATTCTGAAATTGTAAAGGAGAGTATTTTCTGTAGGGATGACAAAGAAAAAAAAGACTGCCAAAACAAGAGATGAATTTGCCAAAAGATCTGTGTTTGCATCATAAATCTCCGCACTAGAGGCACAGACTCCAGGGGAGAACTCTTGGCAAATTCAATTCAGCCTGTTTTAAACTGTCCTGAAATGTATGTTAGAGGAAAATGAACATAAACAGTTTGCCTGGAGAATACACATGAATTCAGTTGAAGTCAATTTACATGTAACAAACTTAAAAAGATAGTCAGTGTCTGATACAGATTTGCAACACAGATCACATACAGGTAACTGCCAAAATAAAGGAAACACTTGAGTAAATGAGGGATACAAAGTATATTGAAAGCAGGTGCTTCCACACAGGTGCTGTTCCTGAGTGAATTAAGCAATTAACATCCCATCATGCTTAGGGTAATGTATAAAAATGCCAAGTTGCCCATTATTTTGGCTACCATGGCTAGAAGAAGAGATCTCAGTGACTTTGAAAGAGGTGTCTCAAATGAGAATAGGGGGTTTAAAGGGTGTGTGTGTCTTAGTCACCAGATCGCAACCCAATTGAACAACTATGGGAGGTTCTGGAGCGGTGCCTGAGACTGTGTTTTCCACCAAAATCAACAAAACACATAATTATGGAATTTCTCGTGGAAGACTATTGGAGGGATGCGACATCAGAGTTCCAGACAATTGTAGAATCTATGCCAAGGTGCATTGAAGCTGTTCTGCCGGCTCGTGGTGGGCCCAACGCCCTATTAAGACACTATGTTGGTGTTTCCTTTATTTTGGAAGTTACCTGCGTATATACATGGATAGAACGACGAACAAAGACATGATAGATAAACGGAGATAAACAGAACAGTGCTTCATTACAACCAAAAGAAAAGAAAACCCATAGGTGTCGATATCAACAGTATACATTCATCCATTCTAGTCCCGTGTAGCTCAGTTGGTAGAGCATGGCGTTTGCAACGCCAGGGTTGTGGGTTCGATTCCCATGGGGAGCCAGTATGAAAAAAAGAAATGTATGCACTCACTAACTGTAAGTCGCTCTGGATAAGAGCGTCTGCTAAATGACTAAAATGTAAATGTAAAATTCATGTGTGAGACATTGTAGGTGCCAGACCAGTCAGTTGTACTGTAGTTGTGGTTACCTATGTTCCCCAGGAGGCCGTTGGCCACAGTGTTCTGATCTGGCCTCAGAGCGTTGGGGTCCTGACCGATGAACTCCAGGCTGTCTTGCAGTCTGCCAGGAGCACACAGACAACGGCACAGGTTCAAGGGCATCAGCAGAAGAGATCGAGATAGAAAGAGGAGGGAGGAGAGAGAGGCCGAGAGAGAAACAGAGCGAAAAAGAGTGAGAGAGGGATGGAGAGGAAGAAAGAGCGGATGAGAGAGAGAGAGAGATGAGGGCAGGGTGTGGTAGTAGGGCTTACGTGTTAAGGCTGCCATAGACACTGCTCCCTGTTCGGGCTGTAAACACTTTACTCAGCATCAGCTGAGGGGGCGACCTGTGGACAGACAAGGGAGAAAGGGGGAGAAAAATAGAGGGGGAGGAGAAAAAAAAATGAATGATGACTTGGTGCTCCTGACGTGTGATATATGTGCAATAATGACGTCAAGACAGCTGATGTGTACATTTCTCAGTTCAAAGTGCTGTGGGGCTGCCATGTTCCCTGGAACTCACCGTATCTGATGGATCTTGAGTGTGGAGCCCTTGTAGCTCATGGCCACAGAGCCAAACATCATCTCCCCCAACATGTTGGCGTCAGAGGAGCACCGTGACCCCTGAGAGGCAGGAGAGGGGGAGAGAGGGAAAGGAGTAGGAGAAGAGGGAGAAGGGAGAGGGCGAGGAAATTGCATGGTTTTTATGCCATCAAGACAAACATAATACCTCAAATGTAAATTAGCTATTTATGCAGAAGAACCATATATTGCTTGCATTTCAACTACACATAGGGGACAAAGCAGAAAGAACAGTACAGGAATTATCAGTAAAATAATTATCAGAGCAGGATCTGAAAACCACCATGAGCGACTGCTCAGTTTACTTGCCCCAGGCAATAGGGCAACCCTTAACGTCAAACTCTATTGGGTTCAAGCCAGTGTCTTTTGATCATGATATAGCCCTCAGTGGTATGCTTTAAGGAAATGTTGCCCATCTATCCGAACAGTGTGGGAGGTGTCAGAGGTACCGTTCTTACCCATAAAGATGCACTAGAGAGCTCATGTCCTTTCAATGGTGTTGCCCATGCCAAAACAGGCCTTGTGCCAAGTGCGCCCTCTATCCAACAGTATGTTCTCACCTGGAAGCGCAGGCCCTGTTCCCTGGGTTCCCGGGGCTCGGAGGCGCAGGAGGAGGAGCTATCCAGAGAGCTGGAGCTGCCCCCTGTAGGCCTCAGCTGACAGCACTTCCCAAACACCTTCACCTGGGCCTCGCTACTGCACATCTTCTGCTGGGGGAGGACCACACAAATAATACATTCACATATACTATATATACACAAAAGTATGTGGACACCCCTTCAAAATTAGTGGATTCGGCAATTTCAGCCACACCTGTTGCTGACAGGTGTATAAAATCGAGCACACTGCCATGCAATCTCCATAGCCTAACAACACATTGGCAGTAGAATGGCCTTACTGAAGAGCTCAGTGACTTTCAATGTGGCATCCCACCTTTCCAACAAGTCAGTTTGTCAAATTTCTGCCCTGCTAGAGCTGCCCCGGTCAACTGTAAGTGCTGTTATTGTGAAGTGGAAACGTCTAGGAGCAACAACGGCTCAGCCGCAAAGTGGTAGGCCACACAAGCTCACAGAATGGGACCGCCGAGTGCTGAAGCGCGTAAAAATTGTCTGTCCTCGGTTGCAACACTCACTACCAACTTCCAAACTGCCTCTGGAAGCAACGTCAGCACAAGGACTGTTCGTTGGGAGCTTCAAGAAATGGGTTTCCATGGCCAAGCAGCCGCACACAAGCATAAGATCACCATGTGCAATGCCAAGCGTTGGCTAGAGTGGTGTAAAGCTCGCCTCCATTGGACTCTGGAGCAGTAGAAACGCGTTCTCTGGAGTGATGAATCACGCTTCACCATCTGGCAGTCCGACGGACGAATCTGGGTTTGGCGGATAATAATATAATATAATATAATATAATATAATAGGCCATTTAGCAGACGCTTTTATCCAAAGCGACTTACAGTCATGCGTGCATAATTTTTTTTAGGATGCCAGGAGAACGCTACCTGCCCCAATGCCCAGTGTCAACTGTAAAGTTTGGTGGAGGAGGAATAATGGTCTGGGCTGTTTTTCATGGTTCGGGCTAGGCCGCTTAGTTCCAGTGAAGGGAAATCTTAACACTACAGCATACAATGACATTCTAGACGATTCTGTGCTTCCAACTTTGTGGCAACAGTTTAAGGAAGGCCCTTTCCTGTTTCAGCATGACAATGCCCCCGTGCACAAAGCGAGGGCCATACAGAAATGGTTTGTCGAGATCGGTGTGGAAGAACTTGACTGGCCAGAACAGAGCCCTGACCTCAACCCCATCAAACACCTTTGGGAGGAATTGGAACGCCGACTGCGAGCCAGGCCTAATTGCCCAACATCAGTGCCCAACCTCACTAATGCTCGTGGCTGAATGGAAGCATTCCCGGCAGCAGTGTTCCAACATCTAGTGGAAAGCCTTCCCAGAAGAGTGGAGGCTGTTATAGCAGCAAAGGGGGGACCAACTCCATATTAATGCCCATGATTTTGGAATGAGATGTTCGATGAGCAGGTGTCCACATACTTTTGGTCATGTAGTGTATGTAGAATAAGGCCCTGGTCCTAGGATAGGAGTTTCTAGCACACACCCCCCAAAAAATACTAGTATTTGTCATGGCCTATCACATAAATAATAGGCATATAGCCTCTGTCCTAGGTTCGATGAGCTTCTGACTGATCTTTAAACACAAACACTGGATATCTTTTGCACATTTTATATTAATCGTCTGGCAGTTTAATTACACATACACACACCAGGATGGAATTCAAGAGTTTAGCGGTACAACCTTTCCCCCATAAAATATGTGCGTAGAGCGACAAAAATGTTATTCTGTTCATGTTTGAATGTTTATAGACATACATTGCTTAAATATTAATAATAACAATAAAAATACAGTGCATCGAGTGCTTTTGTAAGAAACAGAATACAGTGTGTTAGTGATGTTAAATGTAAATAAAATAAAAAACCATCAAGCCTTTACCAAAGCTTTATCTCGGATTTCTAAGCAAACCAACATATAGAGGCTTTCTGTAACTCATGAAATTAGATGAGATTGATGTCAGAGCATTCAAAGTTATTTCTGTTAGTCTTAAATCCATACAGATTAAAACTAAACACCAATCTTATTCCCCCCCCCATGTGATGTGACTCTTAATTTGTCTACAGAGAATGGCACCCTATTACACTGGAATGCTTTTGCAGACTGCGTGCGTTGTTTCGCTTTAGTAATGGCTCACATCAAACAAATGTCTCGCCATGCCCTGATAGAGTACACAAAGGCCTGGAACATGTGAGTGCCTGTCATATGACTTCCTCAGGAACTCGTGAGCTGGAACTGCAACCACTCTCTTGCTCTCCCTCCCTCTCTCTCTCTCTGCAGCACCCACTCCCTCCCCCTCTTGCAGTCACTCACTGCTCACCCTCTCTTTCTAGCTTGTACTCCCTCGTTGTTCCCCCTCCCTCTCTGGCTCTCCCCCTCTCTAGCTCACCCCCTCACTCTCTAGCTTGCTCTCCCCCTCTCTAGGGAGAAACAATATCCTCAGGCAAAAAAGCATCATGTGACAGGGGTCACACAGGAACGGACTAAACCTTAACCATGCTGCAGAATGCATTGGTTGGCAATGACTAACATAGTACCCACACTTGTTACATAGACAGGCCTAGCTAATTGTGGCCCTTATCCAATAAACTCATATTGCTTTTTGCAACGAGGATTGAGAACAGGTTGTTAAAGTAAATACAAATGTTCTATTTGGACCCAAGGGTGATACAGGTCAAGCGGTTGGGGCGTTGTCAACACCAAAGTACATTGCAGCAACCCATGACAGCGCAATGCCAAAAGGGCTGAAGATGTGTGTGTGTGAGAGAGAGAGAGAGAGAGAGAGAGAGTCACAGAGACTGTGGTCATGTGAGTCTGGAGGAATGTTTACACATCGGTGGCGGGTATCAGCTGATGCTATTATTATTGGAGATAAGAGCTCCAGTTCAAACCGGTCAAGCCCTCTCTATTATAGCCACAGGAGCTTTAGACAGCCTTACCCATTTCCCCCACACTAAGGTGTACAGACTCATAAAACATCTCTGTTAGACAGACACACCTCCCCCATATCCCTCACCCAAGTGTCACTCACCGAGGCAGGGGCTTCCTCTGCACTCCTCTTTTTGGCACTGGAGTCGAAGAGGACATTTCTCCCCCGACGCTCACAGTCTTGGTACACTATCAATCTGATCTGGCTAGGGTCCAGCTGTGGGGATGACCAGCTAGAGAGAGAGAAAGAGAGAGAGGGGGGGAGGGGACAAGCATGAAGCATATGACCATACTGGCACTACTAGCAATGAATGTAGACCTTTTACTAAAACTATCAAACTGACTCCCAAAACATCAGCAGCACGTAGAGACAGATATTCCCCAGTCAGACCTGTCTTCACACAGTCAGAGTAGCAGAACCAAGCAGAGGCCCATAATGGCCCAGGTGAACACCATCAAATAAAGGATCAATTATAATATAAAGTCAAACAGGGTCAGTGATGGACTGACAGTTGGTTAATAAGTCCTCTTAAGCGGTCAGCCCTTTCGGTCGGTGGGCCTGGTCACGTCAACCGTCGTGCCATTGCTGCCATTCCTCCCCTCATTCCGCCGCCTGCCTGATGGGGAGCAGAGACAGCTATGGCCACCCCCCAGCCTCCACCACAGGGCCTGTTTGGTTTGGAGGGCCATAAAAAAAGTGATGGACAGACGGACGAGACAGAGGAGGATTTTACTCAAGTCTGAGGAATGGGAAGCAGGTAGTGGATAGGCCTATTTCTAACTGTTTATTGGAGAGTCTGTGAGGAGGGGTCCTCTTAAATGCCACTGTTTTGAGGAGGGGTGAGGGGGCTTAGGGTATTGACAGGGAGCTAACCCACTGGTATTTGTGTTCTCTGCATTGCTGTGGCCCATCAGGGCCAGGGATGTGTACTGGTCTGGGCTACAAATGTGTGTGTTGTGTGACCTGCTGTTTGCCAAAACACTGGTGTCAGTCACAGTATAACCAACATTCCTCAAGGCTAAACCATTCACTTCACTTGGGGGGGGGGGGGGGGGGGGGGATTAGTTATTCTTAAACCTCTAGTCCAAAGGAACTTTTAATCAATTATCCATTGCTCATCTCAAGTTCTTTGATCAATTGTATCATTGGTATTAGGGGCTTGGGTGGTACACTGTATATATCACTATTTCTTTGAAGTTTCTTAATACATTTGAATATTTTAGTTACTTGTATAGTTTAGGTCAGAGACTATAAAATGTTTGCAATGCCCTCGTTTGCATTTAGTTAGCATTCTCTATGGGATTTTACATGTACTTGTTAGCATTGATAACCTTCGGATTACAGAGCCTCAGTGGCGTTTGAAAACAGTGCCCCTTGTGTTCAGTGCCAATATTACCGAATATCCCATATGGTACAAGGTCGGTATGAAGGTATGACACTGGATAACGCCCAAGCCTAGCTCGTATCACATCGGCCTAACATAATGCCTCAATGAAAGCACTAATCGAGGAGGTAGGCTAAATGAAAAACAACATTCATGAAATTAAACCTTGAAAGCAAATGAGGTGATGGTACACGAATCCTAGAAATAATCATCCATGGACTCATTCAGGGAGTGCAAAAGTTGTCCATGTTGAAAGCAAGGCCTACCCTGGGGGGAATCAGCATTCCAAGGCAGGCCAAGAATACTCCCCTACCCATTGTAGAGAGCAGGGAAGAGCAGAATCGTCAAACAGACGGCACCTTTGTCCCAAATGGCACCCTATTCCCTATATACTGCACTACTTGGTCCACAGGGTTATGGTCAAAAGTAGTCACTATATAGGGAATAGGGTGCCATTTGGGATACATCCTGTAACACCCCTGGCTCTCCATAGCTAGCCTATATATTCTGTTCAGAAACATCCAATTCCCCTCAGACAACCAAGTCATCAATGATGTTGGCTCTGAGGTATGCATGAGGCATTGAATTTTACTCATTTGGGCAAAAGTCTGTCCTCTCTCCTTCGTGACGCGGAAACCGATAAGTCTTCGAGTAGTCGAGGAGTGTCAATTTGTTAGTAGGCGAACGGAAGTGTCCTCCACTCCTCGATAGCCACCTATCATCGAGGATAGTGATGTGTATCCTTGGCCCTCCTGTAGCGCAGTTGGTAGAGTATGGCGCTCGCAATGCCAGGGTTGTGGGTTCGTTTCACACGGGGGGCCGGTATGAAAATGTATGCACTCACTAAGTCGCTCTGGATAAGAGTGTCTGCTAAATGACTAAAATGTAAAATGTATCCTTCGCGGAAGAGTTTTGATATCTGCCACAAAACAACAACTTGAAGCAGTTGTTTTCCCGAAGGAGAAAATAATGCAAACATTTCAAAATGACATTCTACTTATCCTTTTATCTATAAGATGTATTGCACAACTAGCTACATTTGTTTTATCACTTTACACATTCATTTGGGGATTCCACCCCATGTAAACGTAATTTGCCTGATGATGCACGAGTGGAGTCATACAAGCGCATTTTCGTCCACGTTCCTTCTCCTCAACGCCCCTCAATTAGCTTTGACCTTTTTCAAAAGGAGGTGAGAGATGGAGGAGACAGGACGCAAAAGCTTAGCAAATCCAATTGAGAAAAGGCCATTCACTGAGGGATGAACATTATTAATATTCACCCACAGACAGAGGCCCAACTAGTCTCGCTATGACCTACAGTTTTAGGCAGTGTGATGTAAATACTGTATGGCCTACACTATGGGATCAAATGACAGTAGTGCAGGCCTAGAGCCCCTGTCAATATGCTTTAAGGACCATGTCATTACTCCTCAGCATGATACTGTGATACCTTTACATAATAGCCTAGGCTAGACCTAGCTAAAGCTAGTAATTTGATTCATTCAGCCTAATAAACAGAACGGAGTACAAAAACAAAACAAAATATGACCTTGGCAAATCATTTCAGCAGAGGATAACAGATAATTCAGCTCTCCATCTTATCAGGACAGAAGTCAGCAGACAAGAGAAAGTGGAGCAGTTTAAGAACTTTGTATCATTGGACCAGGGACAGAGTTAGAGCGGGGAGAAACAAGGAAACAGACCCTGTGACAGTCAGCTATCAGGAGCCATTCATAAAAGCAGCAGCACATGACTATAAGACTGTTACATACAGCAGCACAGTGCTGACCTCAATTCGGACTGAGCCTATAAAACAGCCTACACAAAAGGCCTATAAACATCATATTCATTTCCTTGCAGTATCCATCTCTCAATGTCTTTCTCTATCCCTCAGTCTATGAATGTTTCAAATGTACTACTATTTAGCCTAGGGCATTTGTAAAAACAACAACAATTTGTTTATAGCTCAGCTGTATCAATCAGAGCATACAACCTACAAAGAAGCATTGTGTGATCCGGAGCCCTGCAGTGCCAAAGTAAACTCCCTAAAAATGACAGAAGACGGACAGCCTTTGACTGAAAGGCAGTAAACAGAGAAGCAACTGCAAGCTGTCAGAGCACTAATCACCACATTACATTACATAACACAGCAGCACATTGACACCACCACAATGATAGTGAAAATATATAGCCTCGCACCACTTAAAAACGAGTAGATCCAAGCACCGCAACACACAGCTGCAGCTCTCTCCGTGAAGCTGAAAGTAACCTTGAGTTAGGTATTCTAACCACATTCAAATCCAACACAGTCAAATCCTGAACAGTATCACAAACACCTGACAATAATCATGCACACAAGCAGCAAGCTGTGTTAAATATTACTAGGTACCTGGGCATCATTGTGCATCTGCCAGTCTTTCCACTCTTTCCCCCGGCCCTCTCCTCACCCTCTCGTCCAGTGCGTAGCTAAGAATAGCGCTGAACTAAATTCACACAACAACATGAGACTGTCAGGTGATCTTTGCGCTGTGCTGGACAGCGCCTGGACAAAGGCATCCCAGCACTGCCGCTGCCCACTGGGCGGGCGTCTAGTCCCCCTCTGGAACTAAAGAAAGTGACAGGCACAGCCATCCACTGGAGGTCTTCACAGGGAATAATATGTCCTCCTCGCTGTGACCTCAAACAGCCCTCCCTCCCACCAGACAGACACACACTACAGAAGCCATTGGGACACTGTGTGTGTGTGTGTGTGTGTGTGTGTGTGTGTGTGTGTGTGTGTGTGTGGTGGGCAGCCAAGAGAGGTGAACATGTATGTTACATAAATAATCAACCTAAACTGTGATGCTTTTCCTCTGTCTGATAATGGGGGTTGTTTTTGAATCCACAGAGGGTACTTTTCCAGATAAGCATTCTGGTGCTCCCGGCCAGCTAGGCTATATTATAACACTCTGGGTTGAAAATGAAACCCTGCTTTAGGACACTGGGTACTAGAATAACCTAATCACACTTTCTTGTGGGTGAAAGAGAACACCTGCTTACCCCTCCAACACACAAACACTGTCACACACACAGCAACTGGATCTGTAGGCAACCCCCCCTGCTGAAACTAAAAAAAATCAGGCAAAATACAGTGACTGTGAACTGTGACCCCTAGAAGAGTGTGTGTGTCTGTGATGTGAAACCCCTCTCTCTAGTCTCTCTCACAGCCCCAGAGAAGCCACAAGATGCTAATGCGGAGAAGCTTCAAAGTTCAAACCAACATCTATTTTCGCTCTATGATAACAACAAGAATGACAGGACACTAGTAGACAGTTCCTTCCAAGGCCCCACCACGGCTGGCTCACTGGGACACCTGACCCACAACCTGTTGTGTTTCCTTGGTTTCAGCCAGGTGAGCGCTCACTTCTGCATTCTACTCTATGAGTCACATGATCCATGAGTGTGTGGATGACATCACGTCCACATTCTCCGTTGAACCAAGTTCAACCCGATTGTTCAATGGAAAGGATGCCAGAGGAAACCACAAACCCAAGAGCTGTGTGTCTATGACGGAGTAGATCATGCTGCATCACAAGTGTGTAAGAACGGTGTGATGTTGTAGCAGCAATAGTATTACACATGTTTACTTCACGCATCCGATCAGACTTGCCAAACTCACGTTCTCTCTGGGGAAAATACAGTTATTCTATTCTAAGTCAAAACTGAGTGCAAGGGGACTAGGCCTAATTCTGGGCTTCAGTTCTAGACCAAGAAATGGCTGACTGAAAGCCCCTGCAATATTGAGTGTCTCACCCTCTGCTTTGCCAGAATGTACAGAAAGAAAGTAGGTAGTCAGGTGATATGGGATATATCACTGATATGGGACTCTGTCAACTAAATAGGCCTAGATTACATTCCGAGAGGCCTTTAAGTGTTCATATCAGTCTATGGAGTAACTTTACACATGAACATGATTGACGATCTGATTCCTGCTGTAAATGATCCACAGCCAGCATTAAAGCTGACAACACCACACAAACAGGAGGCTGCCAGTACCATGGCCCTATTATGTAAAATAATCATTTTTAAAAGTCAACAATGGATAGGGTTAGACTAATAATAATCCAATAGTTAAATATGAATGTTATGTACACTGAACAAAAATAGGGTGCCATTTGGGACACAAGCTCTGACTGCCAATTCTGTGAAACAGCAAACAGGGTTTCTGGCTAAGTTGGTATTAAAGCCAGGGTTAGAATTCTGAGGGTGTGTTAAGGCGTCAGCATGCTTCAGTTCGGCTGGCGCCTTGCTGAACTTGGCTAGGCGAAACCAACGACTGTTTGCTTGCAAGACCTTTGCTTGAAAAACGAGAAAATAATTGCAATAGTACTGTTTGTCCATTTTGAGACAACGTCCTCAAAAGTCTGAATTAACCTAAGATAACATCAATTAATTACAGATTTCTTGAGTTAACAAGGAGATCTTAGTCGCGTAATTTTACATCCAACTAAGATGTTTGGTGCAGTATTTCAAGTTTAATTTTTTTTAAGTGCATGAAATGACAACAAACACTTCATTGAAGAATCCATACTGTTGACCAATCACAGACGAAGGGGCGTAGACTTCGGCTGCCAACCTCGGGCTTGCCTCGAGACATTTTTTTTGTGTGCACGAACAACCGAAAAAAAAACCTTGCCGAAGACCAAATGAACATAAAACGTCACAAAATGTCATCATAATATATGCACAAACTGTTCCGAAATGTTTTCGGCTGGGAAGCATTTGGACGCTTTTAGGCCTGCATATTAAAATCTAGGATAAATGCTGGTAGGCCTACACCGTTCAAACACCAGCTTTTCAAAGGCTTTGATGTGGTTTACATTTTAGTCATTTAGCAGACGCTCTTATCCAGAGCGACTTACAGTTAGTGAGTGCATACATTTTCATGCTGGCCCCCCGTGGGAATCGAACCCACAACCCTGGCGTTGCAAGAGCCATGCTCTACCAACTGAGCTACACGGGTTGTTTATGAGGAAATCCTGATTGTGCTGCTAACTAACAGAGCATGGAAGAATTCAAGAAATAGGTCTAGTAGTCTGCATAACTTTACATTTGATGGCCTAAATCTCCCACAAATAGGCTATTCTGTTTTCATTAAGACATAGGCAACTACCAGTACTTACCATGCCAGTACCATAGGTGAAGACAGGGGAGGGTGCTTTACGCAAAAATATATCTTTACCATGACCCTGCTGTTCTGAGAACGCTTGGATCACTTAAAATAGCACCGATAGGAAGAACATGTCGACAAGCGGTCTTACAGACCACTGGGCTGCCTGCTCAGACCACTGGGCTGCCTCAAGACAGGGAAGCAGGAGATTGGAAGTCAAAAAGCAATGACTTCCCCTCATCTAACCCGGCAGCTACTTTTATAGGTTGTGACTGACTGGGGAATACAGACGTGATACTGTGGCAGACGTTATGATTGATGATCCCTCACATGACACACACACTGTTATGAAACTATGTGCAGAGGGAACTTGAGCCTAGATTTCTCCTCTCTCAACCATTCCACTACTACATCTTAAAGTATCTGTCCAGTGTTCCAGATTGTTTATGAAATATTACCTACAATTAATTACAACATGAATTAAATAGATGTCCTTAAAAAAATATATAATGAGGGATGTTAAAAAGCAGCTTTTCTCTGTGCCTCTGCTTAGCCTGTTAGGAAACAGAGTGGTTTGGGAGTATACTGGTAAAAAAAAACTGCTTTGACAGCTCATCCAATGAGACTTGCATACACCTGGATATTCAAATTAGCTTCCATGTGGGGGCACTGGGGCCGACTGCCAAGTCAAATAGTATGGATGGATTCAGTATTTGGAAACACACGATGGAACTACTAGTGCACTTTACTATAACAGCAATAAATGCAGACTGATTATTTCACAAGTGTGAGTCGTTTCTGTCCTTTGCGTTGTCACTATATTCCTTTGCTTGAAAAACGAGAAAAAAGTGGCCCGAGTACTGTTTGTCCATCTTTACATTTCCTCAAAACAGTCAGAATTAATCTGAGATAATTAATGACAGATTTGAGTTTTTACCTTTTTGCAGAAAATATCTTGGTCGTGCAATTTTACATCTAAGATGTTTGGTGCTGTTTTTCGCAAGTACATTTTTTTTTGCATGAAAACAATGTCTCATTGAATGACACACTTTATTGAAGAATCCCTACTGTTGACAAATCACAGACGAAGGCACGTAGACTTCGGCTTGCCTCGGGGAGAAAAAAAAAGTGTGTGCACGAACAGCCGGAAAAAAACTTGCCGAAGACCAAAACGAACAAAAACAACACAAAATGTCGTCATAATATATGCACGAACTGTTCCGAACTGTTTCGGATGGGAAGCATGCGGACGCCTTAACCCTTCTAATGTTCAACTTAATCCTAGGGACGTCCCAAGGATCCAGATAGCACGGACCAACTCGGTCCCCTAGTCTTGAGAAGGATCTTCTTTCCCACCGGAGAATTTTGGAAAAAGGAAAAAGCTGCTAGACTAATCACATAAGGGCCCGTCTTGGCCAAAGAGGATGTCATTATCTAAGCCAGGGGTGTCAAACGTACGGCCCGCGGGCCGGATAAGGCCCGCAAACGGGTTTAATCCGGCCCGCGAGATGATTAAAAAAAAAAATATATATATATATATATATAAAAAAAAAAAAAAAAAAAAAAAAAAAAAAAAAAAAATAATCAGTATAAAAATGCGCTGCAATTTTTCAATAAAATTAACTGCTGTTCCAATTGCGTCCACTGGGTGGCGCAATAGCAATTGTGTTAAGCAAGCAAACTGTTTATACCGGGGCAGAGCAAGTAGGTCAAGCACGTGCAGCCAATGAGCTACTTTGTTTTGCCCGCGATATTTATTACGGCTTCTACTTTTAACATTATGTGCTTTGGCACCCTCATTGCCCCAATATGTCTCTGTCAAAAAAGAGAAAAGTGGACGCAGAGTGCAGAGTGTTCCAAGAAAAATGGTCATCCTATTTAATCACGGAATTGAATGGGAAAGCTGTATGTTTGGTGTGTTCAGAGCATGTTGCAGTGCTGAAAGAATATAACCTTTGTCGCCACTATGTGAGTCTTCATGCCGACAAATATGACAACTTTCAAGGACAGCGGAGATGAGAGAAGGTGAATGAACTGTTGGCGGGTCTGAAGAAACAGCAGTCTGTGTTTACTCACAGCCGAGACATCAGTGACGCTGCAGTGAAAGGTAGCTACCTCATTGCTAATGAAATCGCAGTGGCTTCAAAACCATTTAGTGAGGGTGAATTTGTAAAAACATGCATGATGAAGGCAGCGGAGATTGTGTGCCCTGAAAAGCGGCAGGCTTTTGCAAATATCAGCCTGACAAGAAACACAGTTGCAGACAGGATTTCCGATCTTTCAGTGGATTTGGACAGCCAGTTGAAGCAAAAAGTAAAGTAATTTATTGCGTTTTCGGTTGCAATTGATGAAAGCACGGACATTACAGATGTTGCACAACTGGCCATTTTTTCATCCGCGGAGTTGATGACACATTGACCGTCACGAGGAGTTCGTGGAGTTGGTGCCGATGATATTTTTACCGCACTCGTCGGCGCGCTGGACAGGGTCGGAGTGGACTGGTCCCGCGCTGTCAGCCTGGCTACAGATGGTGCGCCCTCAATGATCGGGGAAAAAAGCAGGCGTTGTGACAAAGTTCAGAGAGAAAGTGTAATCTGCAAATGGAGGACGTGATTTTTTGACTTTTCACTGTATTTTGCACCAGGAGGCTTTATGTTGCAAGTCATTAAAGATGGATAACGTCATGAAGGTGGTCATCCAAACTGTTAATTTCATCCGATCCAGAAGCCTGAATCACCGTCAGTTTGACAGCCTTCTCAGAGAGAAAGACCACATCTATGGCCTGCCATACCACACTGAGGTAAGATGGTTAAGCCGAGGTGCTGTGCTGAGGCGTTTCTTTGATTTACGAGAAGAAATTGAACAGTTCATGGAAGAAAAGGGCAAACCAGTGTTAGAATTTCATTCCGCAGAATGGATGCCGGACCTTGCATTTATGGTGGATGTTACAGAGCATCTGAATAACTTGAACAAACAGCTGCAAGGGCGCAACAAAGTTGTCACGCAGTATTATGACAGCATACGTTCTTTCAAGTTGAAGCTGTCATTGTGGGAGACGCAACTTGCCGGTGGTGATGCAGCTCACTTCCCCTGTCTGAAAAATGTGTGCGCGTCCCAACATGTGGCAGACATGAAGCGGTTCAAAGATAAAATAACGGGACTGTTACGGGAGTTTGAGCAACGCTTTCAGATTTATGTTTATATGTTTTTATGTTGATGTGCTATTGTTTTTAATTGATTTTATTTTATTTGTATATTTAACCTATTCTTGACTCTGTGGTTCTTGCACTTGTTTGGGGAACAGGATTTCATTATTTGTATCTACATTTCTGCCTGAGAAATGACACCCTGATATAGTTCTGTGATCTGTGAAACAGTTATGTGAATCACTGAGGCATTGTGTGTTTGTGTGTTCTTTTTCTTTAGAATTTTCAAATAAACTTGACGTGTTTTATGATTAATAGTGATGTTGTGCTTGTACTATTTTGGACACACTGTCCTCAGGCTCCAGCTTTATGTTGTATGTTGATCGTATTAAAACAAAGAAAACAATCTGAAGTTGTTGTTTTTAAGTTATATATATACCATGATTTTTCCGGTCTGGCCCACTTGGGAATAGATTTTCCTCCATGTGGCCCCTGAGCTAAAATGAGTTTGACACCCCTGATCTAAGCAAATTTCAAGCGTTTATTTAAAATGTTTGCTTCAAAAACAAGTTTACTGAGTGTTTTTTCTCTAATTTATGCTTTGGCCACAAAATAAAGGACAAGTCAACAACATTATTTGGTTATGAGCAAACAGAATGAGCTTTAAAAATATATATTTCACTGGACAGTTACTTTAAGGCTTAACAACTAAGGCTTAATAGCAATACAGAAATCACTGAAAATCAGAAAAACAGAACTGGCCCATGCCATTTCTCCCTCAACCACTCACTACAGCATAAAAAAATATATAAGCTAGCCAAACGAACAAGAACAGAGATGTTTAAAAATCACACAAAAAACATGATGTCCCTCTAGTTTAGGCTACAGTGACTTCTGAAATTATTCATACCCCTTGACTTATTCCACATTTTGTTGTGTTACAGCCTGAATTCAAAATAGATCACATTTATTTTCTCTCATCCATCTACATACAATACCCTATAATGACAAATTGAAAACGTTTTTAGAATTTTTTGCAAATGTATTGAAAATGACATACAGAAATCTCATTACACAAGTATTCACACCGCTGAGTCAATACGTTACAATAGTTGCACATTATTCTTAAAAAACTGTAACTAGCCCACTCAGGAACATTCAATGCTGTCTTGGTAAGCAACTCCAGTGTAGATTTGGCCTTGTGTTTTAGGTTATTGTCCTGCTGAAAGGGGAATTTGTCTCCCAGAGTCCGTTGGAAAGTAGACTGAACCAGGTTTTCATCTAGAATTTTGCCTGTGCGTAGTTCTATTCCATTTATTTTCATCCTAAAAAAAAAACTCTGAGGTCCTTGCCGATGACAAGCATACCCATAACATGATGCAGCCACCACCATGCTTGAAAATATGAAGAGTGGCACTTAGTGATGTGTTGCATTTGCCCCGAACATAACGCTTAGTATTCAGGACAAAGTTAATTTCTACGCTAGATGTTTTGCAATTTTACTTTAGTGCCTTATTGCAAACAGGATGCATGTTTTGGAATATTTTTATTCTGTACGGGCTTCCTTCTTTTCACTCTGTCATTTAGTTTAGTATTGTGGAGTAAGTACAATGTTGTTGATCCAGCCTCAGTTTTTTCCTGTCAAAGCCATTAAACTCTAACTGTTTTATAGTCACCATTGGCCTCATGGTAAAATCCCAGAGCGGTTTCCTTCCTCTCCGGCAACTGAGTTGGAAAGGACGCCTGTATCTTTGTAGTGACTGGGTGTATTGATACGCCATCCAAAGTGTAATGAATAACTTCACCATGCTCAAAAGGGATATTGAATGTATGTTTATTTATATTTTTTTACCCATCTACCAATAGGTGCCCTTCTTTGCGAGGCATTGGAAAACCTCCCTGGTCTTTGTGGTTGAATCTGTGTTTGAAATTCACTGCTCGACTGAGGGACCTTACAGATAATTGTATGTGTGGGGTACAGAGATGAGGTAGTCATTCAAAAATTGTGTTAAACACTATTATTGCACACAGAGTGAGTCCATGCAACTTATTATGTGACTTGTTATGCACATTTTTACTCCTGAACTTATTTAGGCTTGCCATAACAAAGGGGTTGAATATTTATTGACTGAAGACATTTCAGCTTTTCATTTTTTTAATTAATTGGAGAGAAATAATCTAAAAACATTTTTTCACTTTGACATTATGGGGTATGGTGTGTAGGCCAGTGAAACAAAATATAAACTTAATCCATTTTAAATTCAGGCTGTAACACAACAAAATGTGGAAAGAGTCAACGGGAAGGAGCAGTGTGTTTTGAGTCCTGACTCAAGGCTGTGTGTGTGTTGTGCTGTGGTACAGGAAGGAAGCTGTTTGCAATAGGGGCAGGCAGGGAAGCAAACAAAGCCTTTGGCTGGTATCTCTCAGCGCTGTACAGTATACTGCCCTTGGTCACACGTAGCCAGGGAGTCAGGAAAAGATGAGCTCTGTTAAGGGTTTTCCTCAGAGGGTCAGCCAACCTGCTGCCCTGCCTGGTATTCTTATGGACAGTCCAGTGTCAGTATCAGTCAGTATCTGAGTAGTTTTCCTGTCAGATAAGCAAATCAAGAATTTTGTAGTCAGAGACACCAAAGTGTGGCTTCTTCAAACCCGTGCCTAAGTGAGTGTTACAGTGAACTCCTATCAGTCCCACGTGTCTGATGAATGAAGCCTGGGTGCAAAGAAATGTACTTAAGTGCGGGCCAGAAAGGGAATAGTAACCCATGCCAGGATGGGAGCCAGTGCGAAATGAACTCCACTGCTTTTCTCTCTCAGCCTGGACATCTTTATCGATGTGGATTGTGGTTTAGACACATATAGGTTAGGGTATTTAGTATCAGGGGGTCTCATTAGTGATAGATATAAATAGAATCCACCTGAATTCATTCAATTATAAGTAAGAGCGTCGGCTAAATGACTAAAATGTAAATGTAAATGTATAATTCATAATCTATATTTTTAAAGAATGTATAAAAGGATTTCCCAATGAGCAGTAACAGAAGGTAAACGTCAAATGCTTTGTAATTTCACAGTAATCAGATAAACTATAGCACAACTAATGTAGTATTTTCTGAGCCTTCACAGCGCAGCTTCAGCTTGCCAACCATCCTTCCATTTGTCATAGGCCCATTGAGCAGTCACGTGCACGTACACAGAGCACATACTGTCCCTGGTTGACTGGCTGGCTTGTTACCACATCTCAATGCCTCCGACTGGGTACTGTACAATGATTTATATATACATCCTTGGTACAGTAGCATGCATGCAGCGGTGTTATTTTGCACCAAGTGTTGATAATAATCTGGAATTGTAGCAAGCTAGTTATGAATTCTTGTTTGTGTGAACAGAAACATAAAACCGACCATTTATTCCACGGTAACACACCTCAAAGATGAACACCCTATCCTGCACAACACAAATGAGTAACAGTAGCTTTAGAAATGAATAATTGCTTTGTCTCGTGTTACTGAAACGTCTTCAAGTAATTTCCACCAAGAGTGGAGGCGTTGCCTTATTTTCTACGAAGACCCTAAATGTTTCTCGTGCGAGTTCACTAGGTGGTTTAACGTTAGCTAGCTAGCTGGTGGCAACAATAAGGCCAGCATACAGCTGCTGTTATCAAACATTAGTTACGCTATTATGGATTGCATAGCAGTATCCTAATATAAGGCTCGGACCTTCTGCTCACCCCTTGCCTTAAACAATATGATGAGCTGCTCAACTAACGTTAGCTAGCTAGTTTATTGTGGATAGCATGCGCACGTACCTGAACGCGGGATCCTCTTTGTTGCATCTTGGGGGCGGCGAAAAGGCATTTCTTTTATTAAAAAGTTTATGAAAAAGAGTTGGAGGCATTTTGTACCAAATATTTCGGTACAGAAAGTCTCACTTTCTTTTAAATCCAAGAGCAACCCTAGTTCCTTGAAACTAATTCCATTTGTGTCAGAGTCATATGACAGGCATTAGTCACACTAGCTACTTGGAAACCCACTACATTTTTCTGATTGGACGATGATCCACTGCTCCTTGTCGAAAATACATGATTGGCTGATATTTTTGACCAAGCACCACGTGGTCAATGGAATTGCTGTGTTGATGTTTTACATTTGACATTTTAGTCATTTAACAGACGCTCTTATCCAGAGCGACATGAAGTTAGTGAGTGCATACATTTTCCATACTGCCCCCCCCCGTGGGAATCGAACCCACAACCCTGGCGTTGAAAGCGCCATGCTCTACCAACTGAGCTACAGGAGGCTTATAGTTACCATCTGACCGAGACACCAAATAAAATGTATATTAAAAACTCCTAAAACATAATAAAGAATATGTAGAAGATTACATATTTTGATAAGTTAAATATGGATCATATTCAATTCCTAGCCTGAAACATACACATGTCAAATAGCTCAAATATCAGCTCTACTCCAACAGGGTGGTAATATTATCTATGTATTAAGTTAAATAAAATCAATGTACATTATGTATTACAGCAACATAATTTCATAAATGTTTATTTTCTATTTAAAAACAAAAACAAACAAAAAACAGACAACCTGTACATGGACTGTGAAAACATTTTTTTTTTTTACAGAATTGTCCTAAAAGAAAGAATTAAAAACCATATGTAAAAACTGCATCTATTGATGACACCTTTAACAAGTTTTGGTAGCGTTCCTTCCTGGAGGGGTGGAACCGGCACACCTTGCACAGCTGGTTCTGGAACTGCAGAGTGAATAAAGCACAATATTCAAATAAAAACAATAGAAAATTAACAGAAGTAGCAGCAGATCAATCATACTCAATAACCATCACTATAAATTATTATAACAAAACAGTATGTTTCATGGATATGGCGGCAGGAATTTCTCCTGACTAGGAAAAACTTGAGCCCAATTTACAGCCAATAAATAGAGCCACACGTTTTTCCTGGTCCAGTCACAATAGTCAGGAAAAGGTCCTGGCCCTACTCATTGAAATACTTAAGAGGACACGATGAAAGGTCTCATGAGAGAGGCATGACCTCTAATGGACATTTCGCGTAATGACATATTTCTGCAATACTTTTCTGTGCAGGGTAAACTGAGTCAGAGGGTGTGGAATTTACATTTTTTTTAAAACAAAAATATGCAAAAATACATCCTGTGTAGAAATTGTAAGCATATCAAACACTCTTACAGGCTCCACATTGTTCCCTACCATCTTCTCAGTGGTAACAGAGTCACTGAATGTTACTCTCTTCCTGCATTTGATCTTCCTGGGTCTAATCATCACAGACTTTGAGAGAAGGATTTCATTACTAACTGACATTCTTACACTTTTTATTTTATTTATTTCCTTGATTTAACCAGGAAAAGCCCATTGAAACCCAGAGTCTCTTTTTCAGATGATTCACAATTTCTCTTGAGATTGCAACAATTTCTCTTTAAATGCCACTGAGATAAAGCCACGGGGGTCAATATGAAAAATGTATGCATTCACTAATTGTAAGTCGCGATACCAAAATTTGACTAACAATACAATACCAGGCTAAGTATCACGATACCGAGTAGTAGGGTCTGCATAGCAGCTCACCTGTGGTCAGTGCATATTGACTCAATTATGGGTGTCAGGACAGGGCCTTTTCGCTGTGCGGAAAGGGGTTTAGGGAAGAGTCGCTTCAGTTCTGAGAATTAAACAAAATATGTACTTGATGATCAGCTTGTCTGGCATCCAGACCAATTTGATTCTGCCAGGCAAGTGAACAGCAACCATAGTAGGCAAACCTACTGATCAGCTATGAGCAGGGCTTAACTTCCTCTGCAAGTTAGAAAAACAGTTTGGGAATGAGTGTACTGGGTTTGGGTTATTCTTTGTCCACCTGTTGTACTGCAGGTAAATGTGTGAAACAGTTTTTTGAATAATGTTATAGATGGCTATATCTCATCTGTTAGGAATACATTAAAATAAGTCTGGGGAGATATGGACTTCAGGTATAATCATAGTAGCTCATACTGTCATTGAAAGGCATCCCATTTCTTACTTCCTCTTGTGCCACCTGACTTCAAAGATGTACAGCGACTCCGCCTTCCGGGGCTGCTGCTACGCATTCCTTCTCGTCTTGTGATGCTGATGTAACTCTGACGTTTTGAACGAACCATTCCAGCAAAAACAAGATTATTCTTCGGAGAGAAAAGTTACAGTTCAATCAAAACACGAATACGAGCTAGCTAACGTGTTAGAGTGACCAGAGAATGAACCCTGCTAAACTAGCTAGCTAGCCAACATTCGTTTTTTTGCCCAGGTGTTTCACTTGTTAGATCAAAGTAGAAAGCCAGCGAATCCAAAATATAGTTCTATTAGGGATTTATTATTCTCCTAAATTGATGGGATGACTAACTTAGAAAGAATGCAGTCTTGACTGGGCTAATGTAGGCTGTGACACCTGGCAAGGCTGTGATTGATGTGAAGAGCTGTTTTAGGGGTTAAAATAAGATAAGGATTGTGTCTTCAAATGCTAGACTATAATAGTTATTTGTGACCTGTGAGCCTTCCTCTGACGTAGGAATGATGTCTAAGGGAGCTGGCTCTTCTCACTATGATAGGTTGTTATGATAATCTTGTGCCTGGCTGAAGTGTGTAACAAATGGCGCCGAAGAGATGAGACCAAACTCTGAATCAATGGATTGGCTGAGTAAGTTTAAACCACACTCAGTCCTTTACTCTAATTGGCCAGCAGAGAAGTGGGAAACTTCCTCTGTCAGAGTATTTGGGTATTGTTTCTGGAACAATGTGTTAGTTCTCTGGAGTGTCCTGCGAGACATCTCAGAGAGTCCGTATATACGAAACATCATATTTACCATTGAAGGTTTTTGCATTAATTAAAATAACTAGTATACCTTAGAAGTCGTGTTGACCTCTTTTGTTCCTAATACCAGATTTGAATTGACGCGACTTTGACAATTGGTGACCCCGACGCGATCTGGTAGAAGGGACTTCGCTGGATACTGTCCGGCCCATTTGGTCAACTCTTTAATCGAACTGTGTGTTTCACAAACTGCCCGGGCTTCTATAAAGGTAAGCAGATACCTGTTGTTAAATAACCAAAGATCTGCAAATTGGCTTTATCCAAATTAATTTTGTGAAACACCTGTCTGATGTAAGTGAACTAAATTATGAAATTATTATGAGTAGATAAGCACAATATTGTGACATGCAAACCTTTGCTAAATGTGATGTTTAAAAAACCATGGTACCAGAGAGTGTTGATTCTACCGGCAAGGTCCGCTAAGATACGGCTAGGTTCAGGAGACAATACTGACATCTACCGGCAAGGTCCGTAATTGCGACATACGGCTAAGGTTCGGAAGATATAGGGAATAATTGGCTTAAGTAATTGCTATCGACAAGGTTCGTAACTACGACAGTACGACTAGGTTCGAAGAATTACACCGGCAAGGTCCGTAACTACGAGGATACGGCTAAGGTTCGGGAAATTTTAGATAATACTGGTGACTGGCAAGGTCCGTAACTAAGGGTTGCGGCTAGGTTCAGCACAGTGTTTTGAATAAAATAGACGCGGCTGTAATACTGGTGACTGGCAAGGTCCGTAACTAAGGGTTGCGGCTAGGTTCAGCACAGTGTTTTGAATAAAATAGACGCGGCTGTAATACTGGTGACTGGCAAGGTCCGTAACTAAGGGTTGCGGCTAGGTTCAGCACAGTGTTTTGAATAAAATAGAAGAGGCTGTGTGCCCAAATAGATTGTGTGTGGAACATGGGTGTAATTGATGACTGTGTGATATA